AAACTAAAATGCAATAAAAATCTCAATTTTGCTAAAAAATTCCTAGAACCTGATTTTCCTAGCAATCAACCTATATAATCAATAACTTTGTAATAAATAGGCATAGAAGGAGTTTAACATATGATTAACAACTTGAAAATCAAATAGTTACAAATGACTAATAACAAGCAGATATCTGTTTAACAATTTAACAGCTACAGATTCTCATCAATGCAAATGCCATTAGAAAGTATTTATAAATACCCAATTAATAATAAAAATCATTATAATTATATTATATCATTATAATCATATGTTATAATCATATTTAAGTTATTTAATCACATAATGATTATATAATAAATAGGAAGAAAACCATTTTAAAAGCAAGAAGCATAATAAGTGTAAACAAAGAGCAGGAAAATTTGACACAACTAGATTATAAAATTTAGGTTTTAAGATCACATTTAGGTTATTAATTTAGATAATCATATAGTTTATATAGATATAGCTAGGTCGAAACGGCTGGAAAAAATAAAAAGTTAATGCTAAATCCGAACATATTTTGACCTAAAATCATATTTGGCATATAGAAGTAAATTATTTTTTCCGGCAGTTTCCCCTTTTTTATTCTTTCTATTGCAAAGTTGCCATATGATCAATTTAGATGACTAAATAATATATGTTATTTAGTCATAATCGGCTTGCTTATTAGTGTTTGTTAAATTAATTTTCATTGCCTAAACTGGTTTAACTAATTTTGCATTTTAATTTAATAAGTTTACTAATTTCATTATAGGTTAGAAGAGGTTAAATTAGACGGAATGCCAGCCAAATCCTGATTCTTCCTATCTTTACGATCTTAATCGCGACCTAGACTTGACAATTGCTGTCAGGAGTGATGCGCATATACAGGTTCAAGTAGGTGACGTATAACAGAAGTAGGTAGTGTCAAGCTGATGCTAAATGTAAAGGAAAAGAGGAATTGAATTCTCAGGCTATTCCTAGTTGAACAAGAGGAAACAGGTAAAGGAACATAATTTGAACAAGAATGTATTGAGAACAATCGGCTGAATTGAAAGTTTATTAAGAATAATATAATTTATTTAGCATGTATTTATATTCAAAAGTGTATCTGTGAACTACCGTACTTCGTTAACAATACAGATTTCTTAACATTTTATTTTGCAATTGTAAACATTTTTATTTCGAAATAAATTTCATAAATAATAATATCTTTCTAAATTTTTATTATTTATAAAATACAATTTATATAATTAAAAATACAATTAAAAATACTCGTTATTTGTACAATAGTTTTTTATTTTAAACCTAAGAGCGATGAATATTTACTTAAACTGACAGATTTCAGAGAATATAATTGCGTCACCCATAACAACTGTAAATTGAAAATGGATAAATGACTATAAGAAGTTGGAGAAACTAAGTGAACAACGTTTATAAAAATGAAAAGAAAAAAAAAACAAATAAAAAATCAATTATAGTGAATTTGGAAGTTGTCGGAACTAAGGTTTAAAATGAACGGTAAAATATGTTAATTTTAGCTTTTCGTAATTTAATAATCAAATATCAAGTATCAAATAATATTTTTTTAAAAAATAGATAACATTCATTAATAGTAATAAAATAGCAAATAGTAGGTCTTTTAAATTTTTCGTTATTTAGTTTGTTTTTTTTTTTAAAAAAAAAAAAAAAGGAACGAAGTGCAATAAGACGTGAAACAAATACTTATTGGTTTCTGTCTCGGTTTATTGATTTCGAATTTTTGAGTCAAAAGAATATTGTTAATTATGCACATATACAATTCAATTTTAAATTCTGACTTGGTTTTTCAGTTTTTTTTAAATAAAAAATAATGATAATCTTAATCAATAAATTAAATATTATATGTTCTTCCATACTGTATAACTTTATTAGTTTTAAAAAAGTAAATATTAAAGATAGAACAAAATTCTTAAAAAATAATTTAGGTAAATTTCTATTACATTAAATACGTTTATCTTTGAGCTAATATTAATCGAATTATTCATTCAAATCATTTAAAAAATAAATTACATTAACAAATCTTACTTATTTTGAAATGAGCTTCAAAATCCAATGTATGATAAAACTTTGAAACCTTTGATTTATTATGTATTAAAAGAATTATAGATACCACATTTCCCATGTTCTTCTCTTATCTTCATTCCCTTCGAAATTAAAATTGATTTTTTTAATTTCTTCGAATCCTTCTTCGGCCTTTGGTTCAATAAATCTTGATTTAAATGCCACAAATGCAATTTCAGGTAACGGGCGAGGCTTTAAAAAATAAATTATTAGCTTTATTTAATATGATTAAAAGTGTAAAGTAAATATATTTGAACCAACTTACTCCATTAACCACACCAAAAGCTCTATACATATTATTGTGTTTAGCTAATGCTTCTGATGCCTGGAACCAAAAGCATCGAGATGGAACTTTATATTTTTTTGCAAGATTGATATATGCTTTCCTGCTTTCGACATCGGCATTGGTATTGTCTAATTAATAGTATCATATTTAAAATAAAAACAAATATAGACAGACGTATTGCAACGCTTGTAGTAAATATTTGTACCTATAACAACTGGCTTGTTTTCCTTTAGAGCATCTTCGCAAGTTTTCGTACACTTTGCTTTTGTCTTTAAAGAATCCTAGATATAAATTACCATAATTAAACTTAGTTGTCCAGCAAAGGTTAAAATAAAGAACTTCCAATCAAATGTACCTGATTCACATGCACGTATCCATTATTTACCAACCATTTCTTTGCAAATGAAGTTTTTCCGCTCGCAGGATATCCAACAAATATAACTACCTCACAGTGTCCGTCTGGTGGAACAAGTGGCGGTGAATCAGGAATGAATAATTCAACTATAAATTTGATAAAAATCAATAAAAATAAATGAAAATATATTGAATAATTTATAAAGACTATAAATACAAACCATCTCGCGGATGATTCTTTGGATTGAAATCACCGTAGGAATAAGGTGCCGGTTTAGCATCATCAAAAAATTCTTCTGGTGTGTAGAATTTTATTCCAATGTTTTCAGCAAATTTTCTGTGAAAAAAAATGTAAATAAATTTCATCAAATTGATTTAACTTATTAAATAATAAGGTAACTAACTCACCTATCGGTATCATTCCAGTCACCTTGTGTATTATGTTTCCAGTTCTCTTCGCGACCAGCCGCATCACCGACATAAAAGCATCTTTCAATGTCTATAATTAAAGTTAACATTCATTTGAAATATAAAAAAAAAAATCCTTCATGTTACGAGAACAATAACTATATAAATGACATATACCAATGTCAACTCCATCGTTCCCGTGTTCTATAATGTAATTCCATATTCCAATCATCGGTTTTCGATATTTATCTCTCGCAGTTGCAGCATAAACCTCGAAAGGTATATTTAACTTTTTTGTTTTTCAAAAAAAAAAAAATATATATATATATATAATTTTTAATCATGTAAAAGAAATAAAAATGAACGGCAGATGATAGCTTACGTTGTTGGCCATATGATTAATTTTATTCATGAAATCTTTTCTTTTTTTTTCGCTAGTCTTTTTTGAACTTTCGAAACTACCTTGGTTAGATATTATAACAACCTTATAACTACATAATGTGCATTAGATTAATAAGTATTATTCTTTAGTAATTAATTATAATTAAAAATTCATACCCTTCTTCATATATTTGTTTAATTTTCTTGGGAACAATTTTACTCCACCATTTCCAATCGTTTTCATCTTTTGGATACTTATGGGATCCATTTATGGTTATTAAAGTGTCATCCTGTTAATTATATGACAAAACATATACATATATTAGAACTTGCGCATGTGATTAAATATCCAATCAATTTATGAAACATATTACTCACCAAATCAAAAGCAGCTATCTTCGAACGTCCTGTTTTTTCAACCTCTGGTGTATGTTGTCCAATCAAAACAGAATCAAATTCATGCCATTGTACACTAGTTCTTGGCGTAAAGATTGAAAAAACTCGTGTAGATTCTGCAACACGCGCAAAGATTTTTTAATGAGCTTATTTTCCAAAACAAAATACAAGTATAAATAGAGACGTGAAAGGAGCTCATGTATGGAGTTATAAGGACGAGTAAAATATAATAAAGGAAGAGAATTAAATAACCTAATTTTGCTTCTTTTTTAAGTTCAGCGACTTCGTTATCGTCCGTAGAACGGCCTCTTTTGGACTTTCTTTTAACGGTGGCTGACTTTATTTCAACAACTTTATATATAGAAGAAACGATATTTATTTATTGCAAATTATTACGTTGTAATGACAAAATTTGATGATATATACCTTTGCCTTTTTTTAAGTCTTTTTTCATTTTGTGTTGTAAAATCTAATAACGCGACCTCGTATATGAAGCCGCAGGCATGGTAAGTTACGGTAAGCTACGGTAATACGGTGCTTATAAAATCATATTTTCTACTAAAAATGAATTTAATTAACTGATTTACATTGCTTTACCTATAAGAGTTTAGAAGGCTAAATAAAAAAAACTTTATGCCTTTCTTTTCCAGATGTTTATAAAATAATTTTCCATTTTGAATACTAAGAATTCTAATAAAAATAAACTATGATTATCTAAAAAAAATTGATGATTTATATGTATAAGTATAATCCTAAAAACATTATTTGATGTTAGTTTAATTCTAGAATTTTTAAAAATTACAAATTTTTAACTTATAAGTAATAATAGTTTATAATTAAATTACTATGATACAATATATTTATAAATTAATTTAAAAAAAATTTTTAAAAAAAATTTTAATTATTTATTAAAAGTAAATCAGGAATAAATTTATAATAAATAAGCAAACAAATTTGTTTGTTTATAATATAACTTCAAAAGTTTATTGTTAAAATTCAAGTTTCACCTTAATATTATGAAAAAATTTTTTATATCAATGTGATGCAATTTTACTTTTGGTTAAAGAGTTTATATTAAATATAAATCAATATAAAATTCTACTTATGAAATGATTAAACATAGTTTTGAATTATGTGAGATTAGTTTTAAAAATGAATTATTTATAATTAAACTTTATAAAAATTTATTAAAGACTTTAGATAATACAATGAAAATTTATATTATACAATATATTTTGAATGAAATTTATTAAAAAATATAGAAAATTATTAGAAGTAAAAAATAATATAATTGTATTTTTAAACAATATTTTTTAATTAATTTATTAATTTTATAGTATTTTATATAAATAACAAAGTATATTTCATATAAATTAATTAATTAATAAATATAATTGAAGATTTTTAAATAAAAAATTAATAATAAACATAATATTGCAGTTTTAGTAGCATTTAAAAAAATTAAAATGTATTATTATTATACAAATTTTAATTTTTATTCTATTACTAGAGAAATAGAAACTGTAGTTAAGCCTAGAAAAATATTTTTTGCTAGTATAAGAAAGATTAACAAATACGTGAGTCTGCATATAACAATTCATAACATATAACTAGCTAATCTATACTAACTCAACAATCAAGTGAGTGAACAACAAAACATTTTTTATCAATTTATATAGTATTATATGGGGTCTTTACAATAGAAAGAGAGTAAACTCCAAAAAAATTAAAATTTTAGTTTATAAGCCAAAAATGTTCTAAATACTATAATTTGTTCAGATTTATTATTAACTTATTTTTTATTTTTTTTTGAGTTTCTTCTTTTTCTATTGCAAAGGCCTCATATAGTCCTTTACTTTACTTTAGACTAATTACTAATATAATTTTTTTTTTTTTATATTAATTTAAATTTTATAAATTATTAATTTTTATTATTAATTTATAATACTTAATTCACAATTAAATTATTATATTATATTAATAAATATTGAAAGAAAATTTTATTAAAGAATTATATAAAATTTTTATATTTTACTTTAATATATAATATATACTATCAATGATACATTTGATAAATTAAATGAAGTTCTAAAATGTAATGATTTAGTAAATCATATATAAAGATAATATGTAAAAAAGATTAATAAAATAAAGTATTATCTTAATACTTTATTTGTATCTTTAAAGACTAATTTATTATAATAATAAAAAGTAAATAATATATTTTATTAATATTATTTTTAAGCTTCTTGATTTTATTATTTTATAGATCTTATTTAATAAAATAGTATAAGATTTTTTAGCTATTTTAAGTAAATAAATTTAATACTTTATTAAACTTTTATAATTAAAATTTAATCTTATTTATATTTATTTTTAAAATTATTAGTATTCTAATAGAAAAAGTATTTTCTAAGAAAACTTATTTAATTACATAAAAAAATTAATAGAAATAATTAGAATATATTTATATCTTAAATTTTAATAGAAAGCTATTTTAAAATAGAATAAAAATTTAATTTTAATATATTTTTTGAAATAATTAATTATAAAAATATTTATTTTTTTTTTAATTTAAATAAAAAATAAATTTATAATAAATTTAAAATAAATAAAGTATTAATATATTTAAAAATTTATAAGTTAATTTAAATTTGATTAAAAAGTCAAAATTGAATCAAGTTAAAATTAAATTAAGTAAAATAAAGTCAATTTTTAAAATTTATAAAATTCAAATCAAATCAAGTTAAAAAATTTTTATAAAAAGAAACTTGATTTAAATTGATTTAAAAAAATAAGTTAAATAGATTCTTAAACTTAATTCAACTTAACTTATATAGAGCTCTAAAAGATTACTATATAAAAATTAGTTTAAATAATAATTGATAATTATTGATTGCTAATCTGATTTTAATGAATTTTAGCTTGTTAAAATTATTGAATTAAGAAAAATTAAAAATCTAATATTAACTTTATAATAGTTATTTTGCTTAAAAAATTTTTTATACTTAAACTTTATTATGTAAAAAATTTTAATATAAATTAATAAATTATATAAAATCAGTATTATTAATTGATACTAAATTTTTGCTATAATAAAATTTAAGATTTGGATTTTAAAATAAGTATAAGGTTATAATTTTAGCATTTATAATTGAAAAATTATAATTTTTTAAAAATAATCAATTATAACCTTTTAAAAGTATCAATTATACTTGTATTTCTTTTTAATTCATTATATAAATAATATTATATAATTTGATTTAATATATAATTTTTCTGTTATATTTAGATAATAATTATAAAAATTTATAATTTTAATTAATATAATTATTTTATTTTTTCATTTTAAGTTGTTTTTTTTCTAATAATTGTTTTTTTTTCAAGTAGTTTAATGTAATAATTATTAAAATTCTATAAAATTTTTATTTTAAAATTTATAAATTTATTAAATTATTTTTTTTAATATAAAATAATAAATAATATTTATTTTAATATAATTTATTATTAAATTATCCTTTAAACTAGTAATGTATATTGAAAGCTTCTAATAAAATTTATTAGAATTAGAAGTTCTATTAGAAAAAATTGGAAGTATTGGAATATGTAAATCTTTCAATATCTTATATATATTAAAAATTTTTAATTAAATTTCTTAGATATTGAATATAGTAATTAGAAGCTTCTAATAAAAGCTTCTAATACTTCTAATACCAAAATTAGTAATTTCATTAATTTTATATATATAGTTAACATATATTTGATAATCTTTATTTTTATTTCTTTATCTCTAATGAAAAAACTTAGAATTCATTGTTTTACAAAATATATAAAGGCTTTAGGAAAATAAAATTTATGCAATACTTATATAGCATGTATTGCTTGTATTAAAAAACTAGAAAATGATGAACTTTTAAAAAATACATTTACAAATAAAAAATCACAAGTTAAAAATCATTTAAAAACTGTCTATATTTTTAAGAAAAAATTAGAAATTAAGAAAACCTAAATAATATTATCAAATTTACAAATAATTATAAAAGAAGAAACAAATTAAAAATAGTAAAAAATAAATAATAATTCAGGTAAGAATAATAAAAAAAAAAAATATTTAAAATTTTTGTAATATAAATTCAAAATTTCAAATCTTAATTAATAGAAATAGATTTAATAAAGTTATTTAGATTATTTTTATCGACATTATCATTTACACATCATTTTAATTTTAAAAAAAATATAATTACAAATAATTTTATTTAAACTTTTACTAAAAATTAAATATCAAAATTTAAATGCTTTTATTAAAATATTAGTAGCAAATAGTTTTTCATTTTAGTAGGTAGATCATTTAACAACTTTAGAATTTTTTGAATTTTTAAATCTATACCTTATTTTATCAAATAGATAAGCTTTGTCTAATTATATATTAATAAAAGAAACTGAAAATTTAAATATTTTAAGGGATGAAAAATTGATTAATAATAAAATTGGAGTGGTATTAGTATTTGATAAATGAAAAAAACATTTTAAAATAATATATATTTGGATTATTATTCATATTATCTTCAGATGAAATTTTAATATAAGATGCTTCAAATATTAGTAGTGAATAAGAATGATTAATTGAAGTAATACTAAAAATAATAGAATTGATTTAAAAAATTAAAAAATTAAATATTAAACTTAATGCAATTATATCTGATAATGTATCAGCTTATATTGCAATATGATAAGTAAAATAAATAAATATTAATATTTGTATTATTTAATTTAAAATTAATATTTATTTAATAATTTATTAATAGATAATGACTTTGATTAGAATATTTAGAAATTGTCTTTTTTTCTTGTTTGTACATTAATGTTAATTGGCAATTTGTGATATTTTTAAAGAATCACTAACTTTAAAAACTACATCTAGTAAAGCAATTACAATTGCTACTTATTTTAAAATGCAAATAACAATTATTTTATTAGTAAATTACAAAATATTCAGAATGAGCTATATAACAATTATTATTCAATTATAATTTCTGATGAAATAAGATAGAATAGTCATTAATTTTGCTTTAAAAATCTTGTCTGATTTAAACAAGCTTTGTGAGTAATATGATTTTTTAATTAAATTATTAATTATAATAATATAATAATATAATAATTATTATTTTTATTTAATTTTTAGAATTTAGCAATTTCATCATAAATGTTCACAAATTAGTTCAGAAAATACTAATAAACTTTATCTAAATTCAGAATTTTGTCAAATACTTCTTGATAATGATTAATAGGAAAAAATTGAACTTTTACAAAATATTTTATTACCTTATTGTTGTATTTTAAATAAGTTACAATATGATAAAGCATGTCTTTTTGAAGTGCTTTATACTTTTGGTTATTTATACAATTTGGAAATATTTTTCAAATTCAGATTTAGAAAATCAAATGATTAATCGA